TGCTACATGCCGACCTGTGGGGTCCTATAACACCATCCACTATGGCGAATAACAAATACGTATTTGTTATCATCGATGACTTCTCAAGATATATGTGGACTATCTTGTTGAAAGAGAAAAGCGAAGCATATGAAAGATTCAGAGTGTTTAAAAATATTGTGGAGTAGGACGTTGGGAGCATGATCATGACACTAAGAACTGATAGAGGAGGAGAGTTCACCTCAAGAGTATTCAACGAGTTCTGCGATACAAACGGAATCAAGAGACACCTCACGGCCCCTTACACACCACAACAGAATGGAGTCGTGGAGAGAAGAAACAGAACCTTGATGGAGATGACTAGGAGCATACTCAAGGCTATGAAGGTACCGAATTATCTTTGGAGAGAAGCTGTTCGACACGCTACTCACGTGATAAACAGAGTGCCAACGAGAGCACTTGAGAGTATGACTCCGTATGAGTGTTTACGAGAGAAGAAACCAAACATTGAACACTTAAAAGTGTTCGGGTGTTTGGCATACTCAAAGGTTCAAGCAACGAACCTAGAGAAGCTTGATGATAGAACGAAGCCCTTAGTACATCTTGGGATCGAGCCAGGATCCAAGGCATATCGTCTCTATGATCCTACTACTCGGAAGATAGTCGTTAGTCGTGATGTTGTGTTTAACGAAACACAAGGCTGGAACTGGAGTGAAACAGAGGAGAGTTCAAGCAGAAACCTGGGAATGTTTCACATGAGATGGGGAACGACAATAGATGAAGGTGAAGGACCTGCGCTTGCTGGTGAAGATCACCATGATTCTGATACACAATCAGGTGAAGAAGATACGCAAAGCACGCCTACTCATCAAACAACACCGCAACAGTCACCACAAGTTATTCAACAACCTCAACAACCGTTGAGAAGGTCTACACGAGATTCAAATCTTCCAAGTTACCTTGACGACTACTACTTGAAAGATGACTATGCACTTCAAGCGATCATAGAGTGCGAGAGAGTTCTTCTATCAATCAATGATGAACCATTAAACTATCAAGAAGCAAAGGAGTTAGTGCAGTGGACAAACGCTTGCAAAGAAGAGATAAGTTCGATAAATAAGAACAAGACGTGGTTCTTAGTCGAAAAACCAAGGGGAGTCAAAATCATTGGTCTTAAATGGGTATTTAAGATCAAACGAAACGCGGATGGCTCAATCAACAAGTATAATGCACGATTAGTAGCAAAAGGATATGTTCAGCAATCAGGAATCGATTTCGACGAAGTTTTTGCGCCTGTAGCTTGCATTGAAACAATACGCTTGCTCGTGGGATTAGCTGCTTCTCATGGATGGGAGATTCACCATCTTGATGTCAAAACGGCGTTTCTACACGGAGAGCTAAACGAAGACGTTTATGTATCTCAACCGGAGGGCTTTGAAAAGGAGGGAGAAGAACATAAGGTTTTTAAACTTTCCAAAGCTTTATACGGATTAAGACAAGCTCCACGAGCATGGAACACCAAGCTGGATCAAATCTTGAGAGGGTTGAAGTTCAGAAAGTGTTCAAAGGAAAGTGCAGTGTATCGCAAGAAAGAAAAAACAGAGTTTCTCCTTGTGTCCGTGTACGTCGACGATCTGTTTGTCACAGAAAACTCGTTGGGAGTAATACAAGAGTTCAAGAGAAACATGTCATCCAAGTTTGAGATGTCAGATCTTGGAAAACTCACGTATTATCTTGGCATTGAAGTCTTTCAAAGAGAAGATGGCATCGAATTAAAGCAGGAAGCATATGCACGGAAAATTCTTAAGGAAGTCGGATTAGACAACTGTAATCTCGCTCACATTCCCATGGAGTTCGGGTTGAAGATGTCTAAGGAACAAGGAGAAGAACCTGAAATCGATGCCACCATGTATCGTCGAAGAATTGGATGTTTGCGATATCTCTTGCACATTAGACCTGATCTTGCTTACTCTGTAGGAGTAGTGAGTAGATATACGCAGGATCCAAAGGAGTCACATGGCGTTGCTTTAAAACAAATTTTGAGATATTTGCAGGGAACACTTTCATACGGACTAGTGTTTAAGCGAGGAGGATCGAGAAAGATTGTTGGTTACAGCGACAACAGCCATAACACGGATCCTGATGACGGAAAGAGCACAGCTGGTCACGTATTTTACTTTGGAGAAACACCAATCACCTGGTGTTCACAAAAACAGCAGACAGTTGCATTATCAAGTTGTGAAGCGGAGTTCATGGCGGCAACGGAAGCTGCGAAACAAGCGATCTGGTTACAAGACTTGGTGAGTGAAGTAATGGGAAGAAGTTGTGAGAAGACGATCATTCGTATTGACAATAAGTCTGCCATAGAGCTCACCCGGAACCCTGTCTTTCACGGAAGAAGCAAACATATCCATAAGCGATATCATTTCATCCGAGAATGTGTTGACAATGAATAAATCGAAGTGGAGTTTGTGCCCGGAAAAGAACAGTGTGCAGACATCCTAACAAAAGCCTTAGCAAAAATCAAATTCAGAACGATGAGGAGTTTGATCGGCGTTCAAGACCTCTCGAAGAAGGACTCGAAGCTTAAGGGGGTGATTGTTGGGTAAAGCTTTGATGCTTGAAGCCCAAAACATCATTAACATGACGGTTAATGATAAGATAGACAAAAAGGAAATTGTCTAGCTCTTTAGAAATAGGAAAGTGTGTTTTCCTATTAATCATATGATTAGAAAAGGAAATCTACTCCTATATATGTGATCACCGAGTTGTGGTGAAAACATAAGAGAGAATTAGAGCTTTGTGTTTAGTTTTGAGAGGATTTCTTTATATAAGCTGAGTTTTTCTTTCTAAGAACTTTATTTTTAATATATAAATGCAAACAGAGTCATTAATATATATTATAATTTACTTCATGTTCATATTTTGTATTTTTATATTTTTAGATTCGCACTCTAAAGATTTTTAGAACATTTTCTATTTTGCAAATTAATAGTTTAATTTGCTTTATTTATTGCAATCTAATTTTGGTTCTTGTTGGAGAAGCAACGACAGTAATTCAGTAGCTCAGTCTCCCTTTCCAGTTGCTCAGCCTCCGTTTCCAGTGACTCAGCCTCCATTTCCAGCTGAAACAAAAAATGGAACTCTTGAACCTCCCTCAGAGTCTCCACCCACCAAGGAAGCTACTGCAGAACAAAAAAGTACGTTTATTTTGTTTTGTTTCTCATATCAAACTTTATTATTACTATTATTTTTAAAGGTTTATTATTTGGTCTAATAGGAAATTTTTTTTGAAACATTTTGCAGAAAAATCATCATGGAAGTTAAAATTCATACTCGGTAACGTATCGCTCAGCCCATATGACAGTATTCTCATATTTATATCAGCATCTTTATCTGTGATGATCATTATTATGGTCGCGATAATAGTGAAGGCAAAGAATGCGAGAAGGAGTGATTGGAATGACAAAAATGTCGAAACTGTGGTAATGTTGAAACATTATAGTTACAAAAAAAGTCAAGAAGATGACAAACTCATTTGCGTATGTTCTCGGGAAAGGAGGATTTGGAACTGTTTACAAAGGCAAGTTATCCGACGAAGGCCGAGATGTTGCAGTAAAGATCTTGAAGGAGTTAGATGGGAATGGAGAAGAGTTCATCAATGAAGTAGCTAGCATGAGTAGAACATTTCATATTAATATTGTTCCTCTTCTTGGATTCTGTTACGAAGGGAAGAAGAGAGCTATAATCTATGAGTTCATGCCAAATGGATCCCTCGACAAGTTTATTTCCCAGAATATGTCAACAAAGATGGAATGGGAAAGGTTATACGACATTGCGCTGGGTATCTCTCGTGGCCTAGAGTATCTGCACAATCGTTGTGTAACAAGGATTGTACATTTCGATATACAACCGCAAAACATACTAATGGACAAAGATCTTTGCCCCAAGATTTCAGATTTCGGTCTTGCTAAGCTCTGTAAAAATAATGAGAGCATCATGTCAATGCTCGATGCCAGAGGAACCGCAGGATACATTGCCCCTGAAGTGTTTTCTCATAATTTCGGAGGAGTTTCGCATAAGTCAGATGTGTATAGTTATGGGATGGTGGTTCTTGAGATGATTGGAGCAAGGAATAGAGAAAAATTTGAAAACTATGGATCCAACAATAGTTCAATGTACTTTCCAGATTGGATATATAAGGATTTTGAGAGGGGAGAAATCATGAGGATTTTTGGAGATCAGATAACCGAAGAAGAAGAGAAAACTGCGAAGAAAATGGTTTTGGTTGGCCATCTGATCGTCCAGCGATGATCAAAGTCATTGAAATGTTAGAGGGGAGTATAGAGGCTATCCAGATTCCACCTAAACCAGTGTGGTGTTTACCCGCAACAACAGTTCCTGAAACTGTTGATGAGAGTAACGAGACTTCAAGTTTCTCAACCCCAGGTCAGTTTGAAAGAGGTACTCTCTTTGGTGAAGATGCTTTACGCATTTCCAAAGAAATGGTTCACCAAACTCACGAAGACAGCCAACATAGTTTACCTTCCTCCTCGTAAATTAGAGTCAACAAAGAGACTCTTACAACTTGTCGAGATCTTGAGGTATTCTTGTAATTAGTTGTTCTTATAACAATGATATAGTTGTGTTGGTTCTATGCTGATGAGATGATGTTTTTAAAAACTATTTTTCTGTTGTTTTTTGAGAACCAATATACAAGATACTTGGGAAGAGAGCAACATGAATTTATAACTACAAAAAACTAAGCTAGCAAGAGGTAGGTTTAGTTTTGAATAACCAAGATCCCAAGGAACTTATTTTTAATGTTTCTTGATAAAATGTTACAAATCGATAGGGATTCAATTATGAGGCCACGTATCAAAGCATGTAAATATTTGAGGTTATCTTTTTTTTTTTTCCACATTGGATATTCATATTAGTGGTTATAAGTATTAAAGGTTATATATATAATTTTTTTTGAACATTTAAAATCTTATATTCGCATGCATGATGGATAAATAATGGGTAATTTGTGCCAAGAATGAAGAGACCTTGTCATAAATTTTGTATGAAAATTTCAACTCTAAGAAAATGACTAAAATTCTTCTGACTATTAAAGGCAGTGTAATAGACGTTCGCATTTATGGTATTGTGAAGTTTGTGCGGAAGTCTCTGTTGTGACACTCTTTAGGTAACATATTTTCCACACTTTTATTTCTGTTAAATCTAATTGGAAAATAAATTAAGAACCAATTATCATCCTGAACCGGACAAACACAATTCCTGTTAGTTGATTTAGTAAAAGCACAAATACAATGAAGCACCATTATCATCGTGTTCTTCTCTTCTCTTGTCGTTCTTCTTTTTCGTCATCATCTTCTTGATTTACCTAAAAAACAGAGGAGAGAGAGATTATAACACCTGTGACGGTCTCTATTGGTAAGCACACCTACGTTTTCTCTCAGATTCGTGGGTTTCATCCTTGTCCTACAGTCGGTGCATTATTTTTCCTGGAGACCAACCAACGTATTTAATATGATCTTTTCCCGTGTTTAGGCCTCACTCACACGGTTTCGGGAATCACTTTTCGAAAGGTCACCAATCCTATCCCTACTTTAGCTCAAACACACTTAACTCTAGGATTTTCTCAGGTCCACTAACCGAAAAGATAAATGCACTTTGATGACATAGGTAGCCAAATCAATTCATTTAAACTTATTCAAATGGGCCGGACCCGAGTCGTTATAATTCTCCCCGACTAAACGGGAATTCATCCTGAATTCTGATCCGGTCGGTGTGAGCCCTAACCCCCAAACCCCAAGACAGTCTCCTGGGACATAACCAGATTGACTTTTCAGGCTCTGATACCACTTATAACACCCCTGACAGCCTCTACTGGTAAGCACACCCACATCCTCTCTCGGGCCCGTGGGCCCCACCCCTTTCCGATGGCCGGTGCGTTATTTTTTCCGGAGCCCAACCGACGTATTTACTGATCCTGAATTCACCACATACTCTTTTCTCATGTTTTGGCCTCACTTACACGGTGTCGGGAATCACTTCCCGAAAGGTTACCCATCCTAGTTCTGCTCCAGCTCAAGCACGCATAACTCTTGAGTTCTCTCAGGCCCACTAACCGAAAAGATAAGTGCACTTTGGTGATATAGGTAACAAAATCAATCCATTTAAATTTATTCAAATTGGTCGAGTCCAGATCATTACAGAACTATGAGAAATCTTTCTTTGTTTTTGACAAAATCTTGGTCTTATACAACCATATGGATGCTCTTTGTGATCCCCTCTTGTGCTTTCTCAGTTGATATGCATCACAAACACTGCACTAGTAGGTACGGAAATCAGATAGGCCTCTCTTATCCCTTTTGGACACTTGAGAGAGAAGAGTGCGGCCACCTGGAATTTAAGGTCAATTGCACCGGAGATTTTACAGGGTTTAGTGTATCCTCCGTTAAGTTCCAAATCCTTGATTTGAACTATGACTCTGGTATCATAAAACTCGCCAGAAAGGATTACCAAAACAATCTTTGTCCCCAACACCTTGAGAATGCAGCAATTAACCACCATGTCCTTCCCTTTTCTCACGACACAATGATGTCAATACTTTATTACAACTGCTCTAATCCAGTGGTGAAAGTTCCTCCCAGTTTTCACATTAGAAGGCTTGACTGTGATGACGATGATATTGGTGGGTATAGTTACTTTGTCTCGTCCTCTTCACGTTCTTGGGATATAGCTATCTTAGAGGAGCCAAGTGCATCGTGTGAAAGAAATGTCAGTATTCTAGTCTCTCGATCTGCCTTGAGGACAGAAGACGGAAATCTGACTCTGGATGCTATAAAGAAGGCTCTTGATGAAGGTTTCAGGCTTACATTAAACAACGACTGTTTTGAAGATTTGAGGCCCTTTTGAAGATTTGCTTCATCAGTTTATCTTTATAACCCCTTTAGAGATTTTCTTCATTAGTCTATTTTTAGACTGGCTTTTCCTAGTAAAATTCTTATACCGGCACTTGCATTTTAGGTTGTCCTACAAAAACACAAAAGTAATCAATACAACAATAACACAAGTGTCTCTCCTGGAAAGGACACTTCAGTATTTTGGAGCTTTCTGAAAATGATACATCAGCAAAAATATTCAACAATCAAAATATTTTATTAATACAACTCATCTATTTATTTTAACTTTAAACTTGAATCTATTAAAACCCCAAATACTTTTTCTATTAATTTTTGTTTTATTTTTTACCATGCCCAAATAATTAATAATAGTAAATAAAAAATATTTATTTTTGTTTTTGTCAAATTCAAGCCCAAATAATAAATAACAATAAATAAAAAAATCAAATCTTCGTTTTTGATGGGCAACACAATTTTTTGTTTTTGATGGATAATGCAATTTCTCGGTTTTCATACGAAAATACAATTTTATAGTTTTGGCGGAAAAATGTAATTTGGCAATTTTTGCCGAAAAATGCAATTTCTCACTATTGTTAGGAAAATACGATTTCTCAGTTCGACGAGAAAACAATTTTTCTTAGCTTTGGTGGAAATAAGGGATTTCTCTTTTTTTTTTCCCGGGATAGGGGATTTGTTGGTTTCAGTAGGAAAATGTGATTTTCAGTTTTGGTAGCAAAACATAATTTTTCGTTTATGGCGGAAAAAACGAATTCTCGGTTTTGGCGAGAAAATGTGAATTTTTGGTTTTGGTGAGAAAACAAAAAAAATTAATTTTGATGGGAAAACAAAATATCTTAGTTTTGACGGAAAAATGCTCGGTTTTGATGAGAAATGCAACTTTTCAATTTTGACAAAAATGCGATTTCTCAGTTTTAATACGAAATGCAAATTTTCGACTTTTGACGGATTTTTTATCAAACCGATAAGCGCTTTCTCGGTTTTCTTGGTTTTCGCATGAAAATCTGATTTTTTAGTTTTCGCGGAAATTAGAATTTGACGATTTTGCAGGAAATGCAATTTATCGGTTTGATGAAGAAACAAAAATTTTCGATTTTGGCGGAAATAAGTAATTTCTTGGTTTACATGGGAAATGCAAATTTTAAGTTTTTGACTAATAATGTGATTTTGTTTTGTTTTCGCGGGAAAACGTTATTTCCTAGTTTTCACGGGAAAACACCATTTCTAGGGAGATAATGCAATTTTTGGTTTTCACGGGAAATTGTAAGTTATTTGTTTTGGTAGGAAAGTGTGATTCTTGGTTTGACGAGAAAATAAATTTTTTGGTTTTGGCGGGAATAGAAGGTTTCTCAGTTTTTGCAGGAAAATAAATTTTTTCGGTTTTGACAGAAAAATATGATTTTTTGGTTTTTGCACGAAGATGAAATTTTTTGGTTTTGGTGAAAACATGTTTTTTTTTTGTTTTGGCGAGAAAACACAGGTTCTCGCAGAAAAATGAAATTTCAGGTTTTAGGTTTGATGAGAAAATGAATTTTTTGGTTTTGGCGGAAATAAGTGCTTCTCAGTTTCATGGGAAAATGAAGTTTTTTGGTTTTGATGGAAAATGCGATTTCTCGATTTTTGTAAGAAAATGAAATTTCTCTGTGCTAAATTTTCAAGTTAAAGTATGTTTACAGTAACCAAAATTTAATTATTTAACTTCAACTAAAACGATATTTAAAGAGTTCAAACAAAATTTTCTATTTAGTTCTAGAGCAATAGCAATAGTTTTGATATGAATATTATTGATTATATTTTGATAGTTTCAGAAACATATGTTTATAATAAATATTTGATAAATAAATAAATTTTATAATTCATGATAATCATATTAATTAATAAATTTTTTTTTTAAATTGATATTTTTCTTTATATAATTACAAAAAAGGATCAAGTGACAATTTATTGGAGAAAATAGATTACATTTGCCATTAGCATGAAGGTACTAAAAAATATGTTGTTTTATTCTTAGTTATATACATATATAATTAGTTAGCTAAACAAATTTAATAGCAAATTATAATTTTAAAAAATATAAAAATTAAGGATATACAATGTTTATTCAAATTAAAAATATATAAATACATAACTTAAGCTAATAAAAAAAAATATAATACTTATTTATATTATAAAAATAATTTTATTAAAATATATACAAAATTTAAAAAAATATACTGCAATATAGTGCAAATAAATATCTAGTAAATATTAATAATTAATATTTGAATAGCAACCGAGCAAAATAAAATCATTAAAAGAATTTAATATCCTGATCGTCTACCAGTCTATTTAATATCCTGATCGTCTACCAGAAATTCCAAAGAAATTTCCGTCTGGAAATTAACAAATATATAAAAAGAAACCTTAGCTTTCTCTTCCTTGTTTTATTAACTCATACAAAAACCAAGACTTAGACAAAAACAATGTACCTATTTCCATATCCATCTTTTCCTTTTCTTCTTCTTCATTCTCTTGTTCATCTCCAAACCAGAAAAAAAAAGGAGAGCACCATGAGAAATCTTTCTCTGTCTCTGACAAAATCTTGGTCCTATATAACCATATGGATGCTCTTTGTGATCCCATCTTGTGTTTACTCAGTTGACGAGCGTCACAGACACTGTGCTCAGGGGTTTGTATGCGCCAATCAGAGAGAACTCCACTATCCCTTTTGGACACCTGAGAGAGAAGAGTGCGGCCACCCTGATTTCCAGGTCAATTGCACCGGAGATTTCCCAGAGTTAAGTATATCATCCGTTAAGTTCCTAATCCTTGCGATGAACTTTCAGACCATAAGACTCGCCAGAAAGGATTATCAGAACAATATTTGCCCTCAACACCCTGAGAATGCAGCAATCAACCATGATGTCCTTCCATTTTCTAAGGATACCATGCTGTCAGTACTATATTACAACTGCTCAGATCCAATGGAAGATGTTGATCCCAACTTTGACATTAGAAAGCTCGATTGTGAGGATGATATTGGTGGGCAAAGTTACTTTGTCTCGTCCGCTTCACATTTAAGGGATGGAGCTATCTTATATGAGCCAAGTGTATCGTGTGAAAGAAATGTCAGTATTCCAGTCTCTCGTTATGCCTTGAGGAAAGAAGAAGGAACTCCGACTCTGAAGACTATAAAGAAGGCTCTTCATGAAGGTTTCGAGCTTACATGGAACAGTGACTGTTTTGGATGCCTAGGATCAAGGGGTTTCTGTGGTCATAATATGAACTCTAGAGCATTCATTTGCTATTGTGTGGACGGGCCTCACGAGCATACTTGCGATAATTCTGAGAAACAGAAGACAGAGATAGCAAAGACGAGTAACCATCTATCTTTCTCTGTTCCCTTAAAATATTTTAGCTGACCTTAGTTAGTCTGAACCCTACATCCATGTCTCAATCTGATTTGCTAATCTCCTTCCATCACAACCAGATTTACTGAATTCAAGCTGTCTTGAGTTTAAACTGATCTTTCTCTCGTGCAGGTCCCTCCAAAAAAAACAAAAGGAGGTAACTATTCTTTTCCTTCCAAGGAATCTAATTTCAGTAAATCTGAATCTTAGTTCAGTCTGAAGCTAATTTTCTTCCACAAGAACCGGATCTTCTCTCTTCCTCCTCAACCACTGCATACTCCCCCACCTACCGACCTAACCTATTAACAAGAACTAGTTTAGTTTCAGTATGATTTACATTCCTTTTCTAATGACTGTTCAAAGAAACTCCCTTGATTTTTCTGTTTTCTAGGGTCAGTTGCAACAGGACTTCTCATGTTCATGATATTTTCATTATGCCTTCGAAAGAGAAACATTTCACATCATCCGAGATACCAGAACATAAAGGCGCTAATACAACTACAACAATACAGTTATGCAGAAGTGAAGAAATTTACAAAATAATTTTCAAACACGGTTGGGAAAGGAGGATTTGGGACAGTATATGGAGGAAAGCTCTGCGATGGTCGTAAGGTTGCGGTGAAAATCTTGAAGGAATTTAATGGAAATGGTGAAGACTTCATCAACGAAGTTGCAAGCATGAGCCAAACATCTCATGTTAACATAGTTTCTTTGCTTGGTTTCTGCTATGAAGGGTCCAAAAGAGCAATTGTATATGAGTTTCTGGAGAATCGATCTCTGCATCAGTTCATCTCTAAAAAGAATTCATTGAGTCTAGATGTGAGTACACTACATGGAATTGCGGTAGGTGTTGCTCGGGGACTTGAGTACTTGCACCATGGTTGCAAAACAAGGATTGTGCATTTTGACCTCAAACCTCAAAATGTACTGTTAGATGACAACCTCTGCCCTAAAGTCTCAGACTTTGGCCTCGCTAAGCTCTGTGAAAAAAGACAAAGCGCATTGTCCTTGCTAGACGGGAGAGGAACAATAGGTTACATTGCACCTGAGATATTCTCAGGAATGTACGGTAGAGTCTCTCACAAGTCAGATGTTTATAGCTATGGAATGATGGTCCTTGAGATGATCGGAGCAAGGAACAAAGAAACAGTAGAAACCGTTGCTTCTAACTCTAGTTCGACTTACTTTCCAGATTGGATCTATAAGGATCTTGAAAATGGAGAGCATACAAGGAAATTTGGTGATGAAATAACTAGAGAGGAGAAAGAGATTGCAAAAAAGATGATATTGGTGGGTCTCTGGTGTATTCAGCCTTGCCCATCAAGTCGCCCACCGATGAACAGAGTTGTTGAGATGATGGAAGGAAGTTTAGATGCTCTTAAAAGTCCCTCCTAAGCCTTCTTTACATTTGTCTGTAGCTCCTGTTGCAGAATCTTCTTGGCTTTCAGAAGAGAATTCAAGCTACTCCGAGGTATTGATATGATGTAACCACGCAAAGGTATATTTATTAAAGAAATGATTTTGTAATGTTAAGTTCTAAAAAGTGCCAAAGTTGTCGGAAAGAAAGAACTTTTATGGTCATGGAGAAGGTGTTTAAAAACTTGAAAGACAAATGAAATTTTTTAATAAGAAAATAGTTTTTAAAACTTAGAGAACTTAGAAATTTATTAACTATTCTTATTATTTTCTCTTAACTTCTTAGTTACAAATAGGAGAGAAGAGTGTTATTTATAGTCTCCAATATAAAATATTTAAAATATTTTAATCGTAAATCTAGATTATTCTACCTTAATATTTAGATTATTTTATTACAATTATCTATAATTATCTTTAGATTTTTATTCTCTACAACTTTCTAGAATATTTTAAGGAGATAGAGATATTAGATTTTTTCTAGAGAAAATTCTAGAACTTGGATCAATTATTATTGGGTTTAGCCCAAATATTATTAGATCAATGATTCAATATTTAAACTTGATCCAAAATCAAGTTTACCTTTCAACACCCCCTCTTATACTTGATTTTGTTACTCCTAGCAAACTTCTCATCTTGATAAAGTCTTTGCGTTTGAGTGGCTTGGTGAAGATATCGGATACTTGATCATTTGTCTCCACGTACTCCAACTGCACATCCATCTTGGTGACACGTTCTCTCATGTAATGATAGCGAGTGTCGATGTGCTTACTTCGATCATGGAAGACGAGATTCTTTGCCAAAGCTATTCCTAACTTGTTGTCCACAAAGATCTTCGCCGGCTCCTCTTGTGGCAAACTCAACTCCTTTAATAAGTTTCGTAACGAAATGCATGGCAAACGTATAAAAAAGCCACTACATACTCTGCTTCACAAATGGAAAGGGTGACAATCGGTTGCTTCTTCGACATTCATGTGAAAGCTGTTTCTCCAATGAAAAACACAAAACCGCTTGTGCTTTTCCGATCATCTATGTCTCCATCCCAATCGCTATCGCTATATCCAACAAGCTTGTAATCATCAGAGATAGAGTAATACAAGCCAAATTCTATGGTACCTTTGATATAGCGAATGATCCTCTTAGCTGCCTTGAAATGAGTGGTTGTTGGACGCTCCATGTATCGGCTCACAACTCCAACTGCATGTAAGATGTCAGGCCTTGTACATGTTAAGTAACAAAGACTTCCAACCAAGCTCTTAAAGAGTGTTGGATCCACACTCTCTCCTTCTTCTTGCTTTGATAACGTGGCTCCACATTCCATTGGAGTACAAACTGGATTCAAGTCATCCATCTTGAAATTCTTCAGCACCTCTTTATCATAAACTTCTTGAGTGATGAAGATTCCAATCTCCTCTTGTTTCCCTTCAATTCCAAGGTAGTAAAACATCAATCCAATAACGGTCATCTCGAACTCCTTCGGCATCTCCTTCTTGAATTCCTCGAACGTACTTGGATTGTTGCCTGTGGATATCAAGTCATCTACATATAAGCATGCAATCAATATATCATTGTTCTGTGTTTTGATATATAGTGCATGCTCATATGGACACTTGATGAAGCTTTTCTCCTTGACATACTTATCAATTCGAATAATCCAAGCTCTTGGTGCTTGTTTCTTTAACCTCAAAACTTTGTCTTCTTCTCTTTTGACTAAGTAGCCTTGTGGTTGCTCAATGTAGAGTTCTTCCTCAAGATCTCCATTTAAGAAAGTTGACTTGACATCCATTTGATGTTCATCCACCTCTTTTGAGCTGCTAATGAAATTATTAGTCTAACTGTTTCCAATCAAGCAACAGGAGCAAATACCTTGTCATAGTCGATTCCGGCTCTTTAATTATAGCCTTTTGCCACAATCTTGCCTTGTATCTTTCAACTTCTCCTTTGGAGTTCTTCTTCTCTTTGTACACCCACTTTACACCAATCGCCTTATGCCCTTTTGGAAGTGAAGCTAACTCCAATGTCTCATTCTTCTGTATTGACTTGATCTCTTTATCCATTGCGTTTCTCCATGTCTTCTTCTCCATTGCTTCTTGGAAGTTCATGGGTTCGCAATCCGCAAATAGGGAAAATAGAGTAAGGTTTTCTTGATTTTTGGTTACCTCGTAAAGCTCTTCGAGACTTCTAAAACGTGGAGTCCTTTCACTTGAACTCTCATCTCCTTGAGAACTTGGTGTTTGTGAGGTTGGTGGAGTAACTGGCTCCTCTCTTGGCTGCTCCAAATCATCTTCTTCAACATGTGGAAAGAAGTTGTAATTCTCATCATTTGATCTCTAATCCCATTCTCTTTCTTCTTCAAATATGGCATTCCAACTGATGATTTTCTTCTTCGTATCAGGATTGTAGAGCTTGTAGCCTTTGGAGTTTGCATCGTACCCAATGAAGATGTACTTCTCACTTTTGTCATCTAGCTTGCTTTGTTTCTCATTAGGTACATGTGGGTGGGCAAGGCTTCCAAAGACTCTTATATGTGAAACACCGGGCTTTCTTCCACTCCAAGCTTCTTGTGGTGTTTTCTCCCAAAATTTTCTTATTGGAGAACTGTTTGACAGATAGACCGCACATGCAACTGCTTCTGCCCAAAACTTCTTTGGCAGCTTCTTACTTTTGAGCTTGCTTCTCGCCATCTAAAGAATTGTTATGTTCTTCCTTTCGGCTACTCTATTCTGTTGGGGGGATCTTGGCACCGTCAATTGTCTTCTAATGCCATTATCTTCACAATACTTCAGAAAGTCTTTGGACATGAACTCTCCTACTCGATCAGATCCCATGGCTTTGATCACAAGGCCACTTTCCTTCTCAACATAGGCTTTAAACTTTTTGAAGTTCTCAAACACTTCTGATTTTTCTTTCAAAAAGTAAACCCATGTTTTTCTTGAAAAATTATCATTAAAGAGAAGGAAGTAGTTACTCTTACCGAGTGATCTTGGTTTAATTGGGCCACAAACATCTGTATGTATGAGCTCCAATGGCTTCTGTGCTCTTGTCTCTAACTCCTTTAGAAAGCTCATTTTGAATTGCTTTCCAAGTAGACACCTATCACACACCTGATTTGGGTGATTGATGCAGGGAAATCCTCTCACCATTTCTTTCTTAGAGAGCAGCTCCAAGCCTCCAAAGTTGAGATGTCCATAACGAAGATGCCAAAGCCAAGACTCCTCCTTGTTGCACACCTTGAGACATTTTGCGATGTCATTTTGAATGTTAAGAACAAACATTCCATTCTTTGACATTGGCACCTTGGTGATGAGATTGTTAGCTTGATCTCTTATAGAAAGGCTATTATCTTTTAGTCGGATATCAAAACCTTTCTCTAAAGGTTGTCCAAGGCACAAGATGTTGGTCTTCATGCTTGGAATATAATAAACATTGGAGATGAATTGATGATCTCCATTCCTCATTCGGATGAGAATTTTTCCTTTACCTTTCACCTCCATCTTTGATTCATCCCCTAAGGCCACGTCTCCTTTCACTGATTCATCGAGCTCCACGAACATGCTTCTTTTCCCGCACATGTGATTGCTTGCACCGCTGTCAAGGTACCACTTGTGGACCGCATCTCGTTCATCCTTTTTGTACGTCATCAATAGCATATCATCTTCTTGACTTCTCTCTTCAGCATAGTTTGACTTTGCTTCAGCTCTATTGTTGTTTGGAGCTTTGCATTCGGAAGCATAATGTCCAAACTTCCCACAATTATAGCATTTGACGTTTGATTTATCGTACCTTGATTTTGGAGTTCCTCTCCCACGTCCCCTTGATGAGCTTTCTCCTCTTTGGTTAGTCTTGTATTCATAGGACCTCCAGCCACGTCCATTTCCATAACCACGTGAGATGGAAGTTCAGAAAATTGTACATATGCAAAATATGGCAAACCAGTTACCAGATGCGTTCACAGATACAAACAGAGTGACAAAATCATATATCCCTGCAGAAAATGTTCCATCCAGAATTAGTGCTCCTAAAGAACACATTGATGGGAACATATCAAACGAACCTAGGGTTCAGTTAAACAGGAGGAGACCGATGGGTTCTAAAAATAAAATTCCCTGAAATAAAAAGAACATGGGAGACCAAAGTAAAAAAGCTCTGGAAGAACCATTTAAAGAAAAATGTCCTGAAGACATTTTTGAAAAGGTTCTAGAAGAACCAGCTAAAGAGATTCGTTTTGGAGACGAATGTGAAACAGAAAAATATGAGATTTCCATCAATTACGCCCAAAATGGAGAATTATGGATCAGAGATAAAATAAAAGATATTGATGTAATATTCTCTTTTTCTGTATCTAAAGAGCTTGAAAGCGATGATCCAGATCCAAGGTCCATATTAGAATGTCAGAAAAGACATGATTGGGAGAAATGGAAAATTGCCATTGAAACAGAATTATTCTCCCTGAATAAAAGAAAAGGTTTTGGACCTATTGTCACAATACCAAAGCATGTAATGCCCGTTGGATACAAATGGGTGTTTGTATGAAAAAGAAATGAGAAAAATGAGGTCACAAGTTATAAAGCGAGGCTTGTGGCTCAAGGTTTTTCTCAAAGACCGGGAATTGATTATGAAGAAACATATTCTCCGGTAATGGATGCAATAACATTCTGATTCTTAATGAGTCTAGCAGCATCCATGAATTTAGACATGTATCTGATGGATGTTGTGACAGCATATCTATATGGATCATTTGAGAATGATATATATATAAATCCCTGAAGGATGAAAATTACCAGAAGTATTAAGATCAACATCTAAAGAGATGTGTGCGATCAAATTACAGCGATCACTTTACGGATTAAAACAATCCGAACGCATGTGGTATAATCGCTTAAGTGAGTATTTGTTGAGTAAATGTTACGTCAACAATGCGATATGCCCTTGTGTATTTATTAAGAAATCCACATCAGGATTTGTGATCATTGCTGTTTATGTTGATGACCTGAATATAATCAGAACTCGAAAAGAGATTGATGATGCAAGAACTCATATGAAAGAAGAATTCAAAAT